TGACAGACAGGGCAAAAGAGAGAGTGCACTTAGTCAAACTCAAGACTTTTCCATGACCTGCTCCCTATGGCATGCACTCTATCTGAGAGACTGAGTGAACTGTATAGCTTTCTCAGTATAAACTTCTCAAGGGTCAACGCATCACTTCAGAGGGAACGGAAAAAACGTTGCTTTGAAACAAGCTCTTTTTTCAGTTTAGTGCCAACTCACCTTCAAAAGAACAGCACGTCCACATGATTAAAGGCTGTTGTCCAAGATAATTTAGTAAAAGCAATTTGATCAGTTACTCTTAATCATATTCCCTTTGAGAATTCCAAATATCTAAACCCTCTGGTAAGAATCACAGTCATTTTGATCCATTAAAAACACGTACACTTAAGCTTTGTTTGCCGATAAAAACGACATGGGAGGTAAGCCAAGTTAAATGCAACAGATAAACTTAGAAACCATCTACATTAATGTATGTTAGACATGCCATTATACTTACATAAATTCATGTGGGAGAGAAAAAGTGACTTTTTTCAGGCATTGTGTTTTGGTTTATTTTCTATTGATAGCACTTTAACGAGGCTTTTTTGGAGAAAAAAAACATTCCTGCCTCTAATGACCTCTTGTGCTTTTGTGCTAGTTCAAAGAGCAGACATGGATGATTTAACTTAAGTCTTCTTCTCTTTCACTTCACTTCCCATTGACAGCATGTCTCCGCCTCACACCTGTAACATCACTGTAACCCAAGCTCTGCAACCTAATCTCTGCATGTTTATCTCCGTCTATATCCTGATCTTATACCCCGTCTCTCTTTCCTCCCTTTTTCCACTCTGGTCCCTAGGCAGTGAGGATTAGAGTGGAAGGGCCATGAGCTGTCTATTTATATCAACAACAGCCTATGGAAGAGCAGCAGACTGTGGTTTAGCACATTAACACACAGACCTACAGTATGGAGCAGATGCCAGCAGACTTGTATTGATCAAAGCTCTAAAATCTTGTCGATGAGTTGAACATGTACTTTACATCATCCTGTAAAACAGAGAATGGGTCCATGTGTGCTAAGAGTCATCCGTCCAAGCAGTTCATTATTTCTTCAAAGGCTGCTCTGTTGAGTATTGACTGTGCTTATTTCTGATTAATTAGGATTTTGTGGAGGATTTGTTTTGAATATCAGTCCCTACTTCGTGGTCCTCTGTGCTCGAGTGATGTATCACATGGCGCTGTGGGGTTTCCAAAGGTTGAAGGACAGAATGCAACACAATTAGTTAACTCCCTGATTTCTAGAAAACTTGTGCATTTGTTTTTTATAGTATTGTGAGCATCCAAGTGCTATGGTTGCATTCTGCCTTATCTCATCAAGTATTATCTAAGTTGGCAGTAAAGAGAGACAATCAGTCTCTACCATGTGATTTATCTATGTCACAGTCAGTGGTGGAAGTATTCCATAAAAATACTCTGTTACAAGCAAAATAACTGCAATTAAAATCCTGCTTAAGTAAAAGTACAAAAGTATGAGCATAGATATATACTTAGAGTAGACATTAAAAGTACTCATTATGCAGAATATCCTATTTCAAAATAATGTTTATTATATTATAAGATAGTATTGAGTGATGCTTTAATGTGTTTATCACTTTATTGTTGCAGTTGTTAAATGTGTGGCTAATAACTTATATACTTTGGATAGCTTAAGCTAAAGTTATCCAATAAATGGTACTGAAGTAAAGTATTTGTGTAAATGAATGTACTAGGTTAAAGTGTACCTGTGGTCTCAGTGCAGGTGTTCTTAATGCTCCACATCCTCATCATCCTTCGTTTTCCTTTCCTGACCCCTTCACCTTTTAATCCCCCCTTCTTGTTGTATGCCTCTCAGCGTATCTTATTCTAGCTCTTCCCTTGTTGACAGTGCCAGATATGTGTCTACGCATGGTGGGCCGTCTCCAGACAGGTTATAAATAACCCGCAGAGTTTTTGCTTCTTGTCCTGAGAGCTCTACTTTCTTCTCACACTTGAGGAACCATGGGAAAATAATCTTTCCCTTACGCACATGGCACTCATAATAACAGACACGGTTATACATAAAACCTCTGAGCACATGTGCCCCTTTGCAAGCTTTGCAAAATCTCATAGACACAGTTATGCATGCACACACAACCTTGGTGGCTTATGCAATAAGGTTGCAGCACTAAAATAGCAAGGTTATAGGAGAAGGGGTACTGTTTACAATGAAATGTTAACTTACATTACATAACCTGCACTGTGGGAATGCAGAGTACATTTCTACTGTCATGTAAGTATGGGAAACTTGCTGAAACAACAGAACGGGATGAAAGTCTGGGAGGGCGAAAAATAGAAAGAACAAGAAAACAAGTACATGAGGGTAAAGGATGTAAAATGAGGAGAGGGAGTGGAAAAAAGTGAATAGGATAAGTATTATTTTTCTCCACATGACAGATTGAAGAGGAAGGGGTTATGTTATGGCTTATGGGTACGTGGTGTGAGTTTATGTAGAGGAGTGACAGTGAAGCAGCGTTAATGTGGACTATAGTTGGGAGTCGGGGAGAATTCAGGGGTTGGCAGGTCAGACTCCGCTGACACACTGGGATCAGCGATGGGATTGTTTCCATTGGAAAGAATTCCAAGAATGAGCTAGAAGAGCTATCAGTGTCTACACTCAGAGGGCTTTGACAACAGTTTTAATACATAGCAGGCACACACGCTCTCACACATACACATTTAAAGATACTGTGTCTCACGCCAACAATAGTGTGTGAGACACACTCCGTTTCACCGAATACTCTGTGACTCTCACTCATCTTACCAATTACGAAATGAGTGCTGTCACCTTTGACCACCAACAGAGAGGTTGATAAACACAGGGAAAGTGTGAAGAAATTAATTTCACACAAAAAAATAGTGATTAAAATCTGCAATAAAAACACAAACAATTTTCAAAACATAAAATAGACTGGATAAGCAACAATACAAGTTACAACAACAACAACAACAACAACAACAACAACATTAATAGTTATTAATCAAGTCTAACCGGATGTCTATTGTGTATCTGTTGTTGAGTTTTATGTGTTTTAAAGACCTATCTAAGGAGAGGCATTGCAAATAAGCTCAGGCTATAACCGTTTTGCTGTGTTGCATTGGTTTATGTTACATCTGTCCCTATTCAAATAAACATTAAATAAATAAATAGACGAGCATTTTGAGAAACATTCTCATTGGCTTTATTGTTGAGAGTCAGATAAGAAGATAGATTCCACTCTCATGCTGGTAGAGTAAATATGAAACTGAAGCCAGTAGCTGCTAAGCTCAGCTTGGTTTAGCAGTTTTTGTACATTGGCAACATAAGCAAACACTCACACAATTGCCATTCTGATTCAAATGTTGCTAAATCCTGATTGGCACATGACATTATTCTACATTACCTTTTGCCAAATTAGCCTTGCTCACTTCAAACTGATGAGAAAAGCACAGAACAAAATGAAAGTTAGCGAAATAACTCAACCTTTCTAACTTCGGCAAAACATATTGTGTTGATTGATTGAAAATGTGTTTTTAAGGGCGTTTAAAGTAAGATATGTTTGAGGATTGTAACTGATGATGTTACATATCCTTTAGTGCTTTAATCAGGTTTGGAGATGCAAAGCTAATTTCAATTACCGGTTGCTTTTAAACAGTCTTTAATTGCAAAGGTTCCTTATTGTGTAAAAACCTGATAAGTGGCTGAAGGAGAAGAGCTGCTCATTATATCAAAAATCCTGCAGGAAGATGCTTCAGGGCATCCTTTCATACACCCTTAGGCCTTTTTTAAAATTAAAACTGAAGTATATTGCTTTCTCACTATTCCTTCCAGTGTTATTTGAAAGACGACACAAAGTTCAGAGGTGTTTTGCTGATGTCACACAACTGCGTAGCTGGATCCAAGTTCATGCGGTCCCTCCAAACACTGCGGTCGTCTTACTTTTTATTTCTTCTTTCCATGATCTCATTACATTTTCCAGGGAGATCAAGGAGCAGTTTTTTAAAGGGACAAAGGACATTCCTGTTCTGACCTATTCAGAAGGCTCCCATCAGCCCAACACACACTATCAGCTGGGTAGGGGTATTAATAACTCTTTATGCTCCATTTTTCCAGGAAGACGGAAGCAGGATAAAATGTCAGTTCATTGTTCCCCTTCCAGGATGTAAGAGTACCACCATAGCACAATCTGTCAGGCTTTTGGCCTAGCGCAGAAACTCTGAAGGACTATTCCCGGTACAAGGTAATCAAACTCGACCTATTGGCTAAATGATAATACCGTGCATAGCAAATCACCTGAGAAGTTCACATTGTGTCAGTGATCAAAAAGTTGTTTATTCCTGTAAATGTCCCAGTTCACCATTAGAGCTTTTCTACTGAACCACATTTTATTAGTCTTGTATCATTGTGGCGAGTGTTTATGGGTCGAGCGTGAGGAGTTTCTTCCAGACTTTAATAGGCTGTACTATCCTGGATATTCCTTCAATGGTAAAAAGCCCCTAAACATGTGTAGGTCAAACAAAAGTTTTCCATAATGCATCACATTTAAAAAAAAATCGTTTTTACAAAAGTGACATTTCAAGAACTTCGAAATTAAAGCATTTTAGTGCTCAGGAATTAGCTTTTGTTTTAACAGAGTCAGATTGCGTGTGAACAAGTTGAAGACAGGAAATAACATGGTTCCTGTTCTCGCTTCTACATATAGGCATTTGATACATGCATCTGTGCTAGTTCAGAGAAAGAGAGATTATGTATGCGAAAGATGCCGAGCAGGAAGTAACACTGCTCTTCTGTAACCACTGCAGGTGAAATGAGTGGGGAAAATAGAAGGGGGTTTCACATAAAGGAAAATGAAAGCAGTCTTGGAAACACTATAAATCGCTAAAGGATTACCCATGTAAACTACTTATTTACCACGTCTTGTACCATAAAAGACGCAGTTACTCTTCAGTCAATTATTTTCACAGCAGTCACACAGTTGGATAGCAAATTCAAATGTTTATTTACAGCCTCTGTAATCACAGAGAAAAGTGGTCTAAATACAAAAAACAAGAGAAAGATGGCGGCTAATCTCCCTGAGCTTTACAAAAACAATGTGGGAACTGTAGGTGACAGGAGAAAGAGATGTTCTGTACACAGCCCTAATGCCACTCAATGAGAATTTACAAAACAGACATATCTCAATCATGCTTCTACAACAGCATTTCATATTGTGTACACAAGTGACATATTTTCTACAATTTAGAAGACTTCTTTGACAAACAATGAGTGGTGATTTAAAGAGTGAACAAAAGAAAACCAACTTCTGAAATTGACAAAGAAAAAAACACATTACTACCAGAGAACATATACAATTTCCCATCAACAGCTTATGGCAAACATCAGGATTAATTATTGTGAACTAATGAGTTTAATGCTGTCAGCTATAACCTTACTTATTTGTGAACTATGTCCTATGAAGTCTCCATGACCTGAACTTCATGATGTCAAAAAGGAAAAGGAAGATTAGCAGAGACTTTCCGTTCAGGTGTGTACAGCTCAAAGTGATTCTCAGTCTGTGCCTTTCTAAAAAGTAAGCCAAACCCATAGTAAAACCAAGATCAGCGCACTACAAGGCCTCAGGTTGGGCTCAGTACAAGTATTTACACATCCTTCATCTGGTCTGTACATTGCTTCATCAATTGTTTTCTCAAAAATAATGCGCTCTCCTGGCTCAGCTTTACCCTTTTGAACAGTACACCTGCTAGCCTCAGATGTTGTTCTTACTGTAATATTTTTGCTTTGTCATACAGCTCAAAGGGGCCAATGTGATGACTGTGCCCTTACTGCACAACAAGCTTTTGTACAATGAATGCGTCGCATAGCAGGTCATGCTGGTTTTATTTTCTTCCACTTCTCTAAAAATGATTTCATATAGCCTTTTCACTGTGAATGCCTGACTTTCTCTTTTGCTGGGGAGGTTGGATTCCGGTAACATTTTACACAAAACGCCCACTTCTCAAAAAACAGACAAATCACAAAACATACACTTCTCAGAAACAAATCTATGGGCAGCAGTGGCAATCACAATAACTAACATCCAGAAACTGACAGCACAGGTATGGACATTGTTACTGTAGACGATAATCTCCACGGGAACCACAATAAATCTGTATGCCAGTATGAAATCTCTGGGGTCATGACGCCAGCCATTTTGGAGTAAAGCACAGAGCAGTTGCAGCCCCCTGCAGTGTAAGAGCTGTCCATGGAGCACCGAGCTGCCGCTGTCCAACATGACATCTGTTCTGGGCTGAGACACACACATGGTGGTGGGCATGGTTTGGTTGTGCATGTCAGTCCTTTTCAAGTCCGGTTTTGTGGGTTTGAAGTCCAGGAGGACAAGTTATTGTGTGAGAGTGTGTCGCCTGGGTGTATTGCTTCTCTTTTGGGATTGATGGCTTTGGTGTCAAGGGCAACGAGATGGCATCGCAACACTGAATCCGTGTCTGCCAGCTTGTTGGGAGTGCTGAGGTGCAGTGTAACCAGGAAAAGACAGTCTATCAGAAAGAAAGAGGAAATGGGGCAGTATGGGTGCTGCAACACAGCCTCTACTGCTGAGAATTCTGTGTTGGCTGCCCATTTTGGATGTTGCCATTATTCTGCTCCTCCTCTTCTTCCTCCTCCTCCTCCTCTTCTTCACTGACCAGAAACTCCTCTGGAGGCCAGCGAAGCTCCCCACTCTCGACTTCTCCCTCTGTCGGCTCAACCACGATGGATGGCAGACGATCTTTGAGTTTACAGCAGCGCTCAAAGTCTGAGGGGTCCGGGAAGATCTGGAGAGCAAAGAAAAGAGGGAAAATACTAATTATTACTTTCAATAATCTCAGGCGTTAATACAGTCTGTATTTTGAATGGCAGAGGATGTCGTTTCAATCCAGGAGAGTACGCTGTCCCCTTTTGTAAGGCAAGAAATGATTTGTGAGCATATTTCTGATCAGTGCCAAGTATACCAGAACTTAATCTTGAACCTTGTAGAAGTGTTGCAGGCACGACTACGAGGCTAAACAACTGTGAAGGAAGTGATGCGAAGACTAAACATCTGTGAAGGGAAGTGGTTGCTTAAGATCCCAGTGGCATACCTGCTCTTGCCCAGCCCACATTCTTCTAAAAGCCAAGCTAGCTTTCCACATAGGTGCTCACCCAATAACAAATTGCAAAAGAACTTACACTGGTGACTGTGTACGGGTAAATGAGGCATGTCTAGCAAGACTTACAGGAAATGCTGCATCATGTTAAATCTAGTGCTTTGAAAGGCACTGTGCCAAGCAGCTCGTAGCTGCTTACCAACTTCAAATCCAGTACCACATCACCAAATGCTCAGAAGATTACAAGAACAAAACCAGGTCATTTCAAATCAACAGTAAAAGCAAGAAAAAGGTTGAAGGTTTACTGGGACGGGATTTGTGTACAACTAAAATAAAAGTCAGCCGTAAGTGCTGAATATTTAATATTAATGTAGAGATGGAAAAAAGGTTTAGGAAAGAACATCAAAATCGGCCGCGTTCTCTGCAAATCCAGTATGATACGTCTGCTTATAAACATCTCTCTCAAATGTTTGGATCCAAACTGAAGGGCATGAGAGACATTTGGACAAGAGCGATTACATACATTCCCTGTACTGGCAAGATTGGATATCAAACTCAGACTTTCTGTTCTCAGGAACCGGAGAGCTGGCCCAGGGGAAAGGCTTGCCACTCCTTGTCCAAGAACAGCATTTTTTGCTGTTGTTTGGATAAAATGGATGAATATTTTTAGACCTGCATATTTCACTCCAAGACATTGGAGGGGGAGGAAGGGGGGGGGGGTTCAGCAATGTCGCGGTCTGGGCAGAGAGCCGAGTGGAAAGAAAGCATTAGAAGAAGCAGGAGAGAGACTGTGACGAGAGGGGAAGAGATAGAGGGGATCCAGCTGTGTCCAAGTCTTCATGAATTCCATAGGAGATGGATGAGTAGAGAGGAAAAAGACAAAAATGCTATAAATATCCCTTGTGAATGTTAGAGTGTGTTAGGTTATAGAAGCATGTATGTTTTTCAGTAGCTTTTACATTTTCCAAAAGTAGCTGCTTATAGAACCACACTAAGAGGTGTGATTATAAGCGTGTGTGTGTGCATGTCTGTTTAAGTGTAATGCCTGTGTGTATCTGTATATTCTCACCTGCATCACCAATCCTCACTGTGCGTCAGCACCAAGGGGAATTAGTAGAATGACCTTGCCTTTGGATAGCTAACACATGTCATAACTTGTTTCACTTCTAGTGGCAGGAAGCAGCGACATCGGCAAGGCACAATACAGGCTATTTCAGGATCTTCTGTGGGAGTAAGGTTGGGGTCAACCTTATATCTGAATCCTGACATTGCCTTTTGAGATGATGATTCAGTAAATCAATAACCATTTCCTCATCCTTCTTCACTAGTAGATCAACATTCATTTCAAAACCTTTTCCTAGATGCAGCTGGAATTTAGTTGTCACACAAATTGTGTCAAAGCCCCCGGGACCCGTTATTGAGGAAGTGACTGGAGGCAACATCACTGCTTCTCTAAGGAGTGACTGGGACCTTGGGCAAATGGCCGAGGTGAGTAAATACAAAATAGGGATGGAAAGAGTGAAGAAGCAGCAGCCTCCTTTTCTCTCATTTCTCCCCCTCATCCGCTCCTCATTCACACAGCTGGGGTGTGAACTGGAGAGGAAGCCAGGCTCTTCCTCCGGGTCAGTCTATTTCCTTTCAAAGTTGACATCTACATACAGTACTGAAGGGCATTACAAGGCCACTGTATTAGGTTTATGAATGCAAACCTTTCAGATAACAATTGACATCCATTTCTATGAGATTATTTATCTTAAAAATAGACAATTACCTTTCAGGCCTGTTAAATGAGAAGCCTCAGCTTTTTTGAAGAATATTTTGTTACCCATGCGGTTAAAACACCATTGGCACCTCTGAACCTATACAGCCTCGATGCTTCATTAACCTTCCTTTCAAAAATAATAAGTGGTCTTTAATTATCAAACCATTATTTTTAAAAGATGCTGATACAAAATAGGTCTCTTTAAAAATCCTACTAAACACTGGGGACAACTAAGACTCAAAAATAAGCAAGCAGCTGTGTGTTTAAGTAGTTTAGTTTCCAAGATGGCCCTGTTGAGCTGACAGTAAAACAAAGCCGCTGGCGACACCTTGTCAAGACCACCTGATGGCCGCTTTCTCTCATCTCTCTCAATCTGCAGGGTTCATTCCTGTGACAGGCTGCAGTAAATCACACTATTGCTCACACTTCTCGTATGTTAATGTTGGGACAAACCTCCAATGTCTCCAACGTAATAGATGAACAATAAGGGTTTATTGAAATGTTTCCTTAGCCTTCTATTCATTATTTAGTTTTTCTGGGTATGGGATCATGTAAGTGGCATTTCAGTGTGCACATGTCCTACCTGAAAGGAGAGTCTGTCCTTGCTGGGGCTGAGCCTCATGTCCTCCATGGGGGTGCTGTTGATCATCACCTCAGTCATATCTCGGCCGGGAACAAACACTGGGCTGCGGGGTAAAAAGAAAAAATAAGTTTGATTAGATGCTGTGCAATAGGCCTCAAGATCCAAATGAAAAGAGAAAGCATGCCATCCCAAGAGGGCATGTACGTGCAGCCTTTTAACACTAAAACATTTGTGTTGATTAAAAGTGATTTTTTAATAATTTCCCTTATAGATTTTCTCCCTATTTCGAGTCATACTAAAGAGGGACAGGTTACACTGAAGAAGAATTACTAAAAGTCAATAATTGAATGGAACAAAGATTAAAGAACCAATAACCCATCAAATGTTGCATATGCCCAAGTCATGGTTTTGTTCCTCTGCTCATGTTGACCACAGCAAACCAAACATCCAGTTTGTGCACTGCAAAGCCGCACAGAACACAATATGGCTTGCATAAGGTGTCCGTTTCCAAATGCAGGCTGATGTGCTCTTGCAGTGGCAACCAGAAAACAGTCATTGTGAGAGTGTGCTGGGGGCGTGTTGTGGTATTTGGTTGGGGTGGAACTTGATGCACTCAATTCGACAAACTTTCCATTTTGGAATAAAATCACAAAAGGGTTGTTTATTCATGTTCAGTGCATTCATTATCCAGAGTTGTTGTAGAAAAAATATTCAACAAAATAATGTCTTGAAACAGAGCCTGGACTGACAGATGTGTCTTGAGACAAGATGCTGAGCGGCCTTCTCACGCTCTCTATCTAAAGCCTGCTACCTTGTGGTCAGTGGCCACAGGCCTGTGGTGTGTGGTCACTGGCTATATGGAACAAGACAAACAGAACACGACAAAAGACTAACATTATCTGGTTTAATGGAATTGGGTTTTTTTAGGGAAGAGTTGTGTGGGCTTTGCTTGACCTAGTTTGAATCATAAATATTTATTTTTGAACCACAGCACGGTGAAAATTATAACGTAGTGATGATTAAAAATATGGTTTTAAAATAAGGACCAATTATGTTAACATGTGTTCAGAGAAATGTATTGTACCATTCACCGGTTTTATTCATATCAAAACAGCGTATGACTCATACAAAACTCACGCTCAGAATACTCTTCTTGCAGAAATCTATAAATATCCATGTTTACTAGAACATGAATTATCTTAAATTTAAAAGAGGTTCATCGTACACAAACTGTCACACAGAACTGTGGTGGACAAATAATCTCTTTATGAATTAGGGTTTCATTTGATTGAAAAGTAAGACTAAGGTAACTGAGGAAATTCGATAATCCTCTTTGGTATGACATAAAGTTTATGGAAGCACATTATTTAATAATAGATGGATCTTGTTTTGGACTCAACAGTTTGCTGACCAAATCTTCTCCCTTTTTGCATTTTACATCAAATTCTTGGAAGTGTAATTTAGTCAAAGTTAGGGCTCCATTCATGGCTTTCTGATATAGCCTATAGAATGAATGAATGACACATTGACGATGTTGTGGAAAACCTGCAGTCATCAAAGAGAAGTCAATACCAAAGAACATTTAACACACATTCATCCTGAGGAGCAGAGTGTCATGTGACATGAGTCACTCATGGCCAGAGATCATTAAGCCCTAAAGCAATGGCATCTATCAATCAGTTTTTCCATCCCTACATTTACACACCCCTCATCTCCCTCATGAGGAAACACTGACACAGCATTTAAAGGCTTCTGGTTGAATCTACATAAAGTAACCTTTACTGCACCAGTTAGAGGACATGGCTTACTTGACCAAAAGACTAGACAGATGTCCAAATATGAAAAAGGAGGGGGCTTGAAGGAATGCAAGGTTAAACTTGGAAATAATAATGTCAGCCGGGGCTGCTCTTAAACTTATTTCATCTTTGAGGGAGAGGGCGGAGGTGGGGACGGAGGGAGGAACAGTGACAGTGAAGACCTGAGGAGAAGAGGAGCAGGAGGGAAGGGAAAGAAAGATAAACACTCAGGCCTTGCCAGTCATATTTCTGTTCGGGGATCGTATAAACATCCTGCTCGGCTAAGAATAACAGAACCTCGGCCTAATAAAACATAAAGGGGCACAATGAGGAGGAAGTGGGGGTGCACAAGTAACAAGTTAACCTAGGAGGAAACAAACATACATGGACCACAGTCACATCTATTACTGCTGTGTGTCACGCAGGGCTGATGAGTGCGTCCCTCACACAGAGATGAATACTTGATTCCTTAAGGAGACGTTAAGTGTTTTACAAGTAACCTGTATATGTTTGATGCAAGATCAGCATGGACCACAGCTAGTTCAAAGTAAGCTCAATAGAATACATCAGCACGTTTCTAATGGCCTTTATTGATCAATGACGACAGTGGCTGATGATGACGACAGTAACCCTCTGTAACTCCTGACCCACATACAATAATGCTCATCCTAATGCCACGGCACAGATAGACAGCATGTAAGAAGTTTAGTCATGTACAGACTGAGTGTCCAAAGCCCGTATCGGAAGGATTACTGAAGTTCAAAGCTAAAACTGTTTGTCAATTATAAATACAGCAAACAAATTCGGTTTATTTATCAGCCAAATGTAAATATTTTGCCATTTTCTCAGTCTTCCTAAGAAATAAATGTAATATCGAATTGATCGAACAAAACATTGCATATAATGTGGTTCTAGAGTTCTCTCGTTTAATATCTCAAAGTTACATTTCCAAGAAAGATGACCAGTGACATCCTTTACAGGGTTTTCTTAAGTGTCACTGCCTACTGCCACAGAATACATTAAATGCCTAATAAAAGTGATGATCTGATCTTTTTTACCCTGTGGATCACAACCCTTGGCAGACAAAAGCACTGACCCAGTGTTTAGCAGCCATTTCTACTTTTAAAACAACTACCTCACCTCATTATAGTGAACAGTAGCACTCGCTTCATGTTACAGCCATTCATACACTAGCAGTCACATTTTAACAGAACTAGTGGTTAAAGTCAGTACTGCCATCTACCACACTGGCTTTACACCTTTATCTAGGACCGCTAAAAAAAAAAACATTCTGTAAGATGCTCAAAGACTCAGTCATTACCCAAGCATGGCCCCGGGTTCATCCACCAGTCTCAAGGCTATAAAAAGCCCAAGGCCATGCTTGTTCCTGTCTGGAAAGTAGTGGCGATGACAAGAGCCAAGTAGTCTCCGCAACAATCTCACTCCACAAGAGGGAGAATATGCATGATGCGTTATCAACATTGTTTCCCCTCTGCCACCCCACAGTTCCTACTACAGCTATCATAAATCTCAGCCTGTGTGGAGACAGGGCAAAGTTACTGACGTGCCATGCCGGAGTCACACAGCTGCGCAGGTATGTGGGTTGTGCGGGGACGCAGTAAGACCCCCAGGAGTGTGATGGAATGAATGGGTTGTATCCAGATACCTATGGGTTGAGTCTACCGCTGAAATGAAATCATGGATCAGCTAGTGCTCCAGTGCCTTGTGGTAATCTAAATGATGGGTGTGAGAATGACCTTATATGTCTAGCAGCTTGCACTTAGTTTTCATATGATGCCATGCGTGAGATGAGCTCCAGCTATTGTTGTGAGAAAAATGTCTTCCTGTTTAGACAAATGGAAAACCACAGTGTAGGTTAACTCGCAGCATCCAAATCTAATAACGCGCAAAGATTTTTAGACTCTGAAAAATAAAAGTAAAAGCCTTTTTTTATAAAATGTTTTTCATAAAAGTAACATCACAGACAAGAGAACATTGATCTAGTGTTAGTAGGCACACACAAGAGAGCAACGTGCGGTTACAGTAAAGAGGTCGAGCCTGAACTTCCTGGTAGAGACAGCCAGAAGCCTGCTGAGGTTTGAACAGTGCTCGAAAACAATGTTTCAAAGCATCTTGCATATCCTCTCTACAGACAGGAAAACAATCAGCAGGTATGAGAACAAGGCTTATAACCCACTCTGTTTCAAGAAGTACATCAACAAGTGAGAGTACTGAATGGCACAAGGAAATGTAAAAAGTGTCACTGATAATAGATAGGAGCATAGTGCATCTCTTCTTAAATTGCACCTGCAGTATTAAAGACCAAATAATGAATGCAGGGTCTTACTTTATCTGAGAATACAGCAAAGTAAGCCTATGCGTTTTAACTTTCAACATTGAAAAATAAAAAGGAATACAAGTAGGCCTATTTAAGTGCATTTTATCCCCAACAATTGCTGACAGAAAACACTGTGTGACCACTGTGACCTTTGAGAATGGTCATATCAAATGCAGGCAACTTATGAAGCTGGAATCTGACAATCATTTCCTTAAAATAAATGGAGACCTAGAATAACATTTAAAATATCCAAGCCGTGTGACATGACATTTCCAACTCCAGGGGCAACACCCGACAGAAAATTAAAAGGAAACAAGAGTGGATATAACAAAGGTGTCATATTCTGAGGGAAATCACCAAGCAAAACAAACCACAACTACTTCATTGTTCTTACCGGTCAGGAGCAAAGCCAACAAAAGCAGTGTTTGATACATGATTTAGTAATGTCTATCAGGCACAAGGCAAGCACACCTCAGCTGCTAACATGTGGACAGGTGTAACTGGAAAATATGCGAGTACTCACCAATATATATGCGGGGAAATAACAGACATTAATTCACACCTGATGCCAATTCTGCTGATTGGGGAATCTAATGACAGCCGGGGACTACTTTTTCTCTTTCTTTCCTCTCTCCACGGCAGCACAGCACGTTCACGTAAACCGAAAGTAACTCTGCGGGAAAAAAGTCTGAGAACAAAACACAGCTCTATAATTTGGTGCGTCTGATCATCACCTCAGCTGTGTTGAGTATTTATGCGAGAGGCGTCTGCTTGTTCAGCCGGAGACACACCTCCTCTCTGCACGGGCCAAAAAACCTCAATGGCAGCGCATAACCAGAAGGAGCCAATCAGAGCACAGGTGACTCGAACCCCTCCGCCCCTCGAGCCCTGATGACGGCAGCAGCGACTGAACCTTCTCATTGGGAATGGGCAAGAAGATACTGCATGATGCTATTGATTTGTAGTCTCCAAGGCAACAAAATGACAGTCTAACCCTCTCTTGAATGACAAAAAAACACACTGATTCGCTTGTTAGGTAACGCGTGACATTTATCCAAATGAGGAGGGATAGAGCTCCACTGCCTGGGTTCATTCACAAATATATTCCAAGGGCAATTCAATGTCTGCAGCAGCAATGGATGGTTCTCTTCCTGCCGCGTTTTGCCTTTTAATTTACACTATAAACAAAGCTTGCAGAGTAGTCTACACACGCAGGCTGTTTTGTGAATTTTAAAAATGATGTCCTTAAAGTATAATAAGCCTTATTTGCCAACACCTCACCTTGTTTACACTATAGCCAGGACCTTTAGCACAACGTTGAAATGCACACCTTGTAAAAAGCCCAGTTGTTGTTTACCCTGCACGCATTGTACTGCATGTACATTTGGCTCAGAGAACGCAGGTGCACATGAGGTTCTGCAGTTTTAGGGATACAGAGTAAATGCAAGTGGGCCTCTACCGCCACCTTGTGACCACCCAATGGTAAGTGTTTGATTTCTTATTTCTATAAATAAACAAACAGTGGTTAAGTAATTAGGAAATGCAGTGCACAGTATGTTATTAATACTATACTGCACTATACTATTCTAAATCTTTCATTGGATCCATTATCCTTTTGGTGACATAAACACAACACCATAATTCAGCTCACAGCTTCAGCAAATCTGGCACTTTTCAAATGCCCTTTATTAAAGTCTCCTGGGTGACGGCAGATGGCACACATGCCCGGCAGGGAAGTAAACAGTGTGGAAACAAACAATTCTTGAATCTCATTTTCCAAAAAGCTGAGCACAGAGTCTATTTTAAATCTTATACAAACTCCAACTATTTACAAGTCATTTAAAAATGTGTTAATGTTAAAATTATGTTTAAACCAACATCATTTAACATTGACTTCTCTTTAGCAAAATGTTGGTTTTACAATTATGCCCAGTTTCCGTACTCAAGGCTTCCTCTCTACTCAGCTAATTCCTGTCAATTGAGCTCACTTCCAATAAAGGAAGTCTTTACTAATAGCAATAATGAAACTTGAACTATTTCCCATCAGCATTTGACTCAAGAAAAAGCAACCCTGAGCAAAATGTAAACTAAAGAGGTTGTAGTAAAACAAACATACAGTGAGAACATGTTTGTATGTATTCACAAAAGCATAAATAACAAGCTTTATTTTCCAGAGAAGACATTGTGACACACATTACACTCTTAGCATGGCTCTCTTCTATTAAAGTATCCCTCCTAGGGAGAAACACATGTGGGGTTTAGATACAAGAGGCCAAGAAGAGGTTGCCTGGTGGCATATCTGAAATATGGTTGGATGTAACAAAATTAATTGATTTGTATAACTCCATAGTGCTCAGAAGTCAGAATTATGGATACACTTTGGCTAAAATGAACAATGTTTGGTAATGATGTAAATGCAGCATATCATGCCTGGTGATATTCAGTTGGAGTGCTGATGTTATTTATGGATGTGACTCATTCACTGACATCATCACTTTCTGATGAGCGTCTGCTGTTTTGGTCAAATCTGTCCACTCAGCGTGAACTTCTGCTGTAACATACGGTATGGAGAGTCATAAACAACCTAAGCTATTTATAAACCTATTATTTTTACACATCTTTTTTTTTAATACAATTTTACAATGTCTTATATAGATCTCTTGTCTGCAGCTGTGTCAGAGTTTAGCACCCCCTAACAAGAAATGGAATAACAAAAGACATGTATTTTGAAATGTTATTACACGCAACATGACCACTGGATGTCACTAGTGTCCATGGAATGGTTAGGGGTTACTGCATGAGCTGCTGTTATGAAGGGGTTGATATTTATTGATCAATTATTGTGCATGGCAGTGATTTATTCAACCTTAAATCTTTCAGTATTCTTAATACCATTAATAATTGTGATGCATGAATTGGCAAACAAACTAGAATTGAGTTTTAAAAATATGATCTAATACATTTTAGGATGAAGTCTTAATTACAAATAGTTTAAAGATGTGTTGCATTGAAGAAAACTGTAAAAGACCATTCTTATTGATGACTTATTATAGAATTATTATGTTTAGTTAATTTAGTTATAGTATGTGTATCTTTTAGTGTAGATTAATAGGATCATTTGAAAAAAAAAAAAAGAAATCTGTTTTATTAAGTAATTACATTTTTTACATTTCTTCTTCCTGTGATACGGCCAACAACAAAAAAAGTGTGTGTAAATATTCTCTTTTAGTCCTGATGCTCATCTAAGATCACAAATATATTATGTTTAACTAATAAGGACATTTTATAAACCTGAGGTGAAAAACAAAAGAAAAAGACAAAACAAGTCCCTGAAAAACACCACTATAGTCACACTATATATTAATTTAAGCAGTGTTATTCTTCCCTGGATGCTTTCAATGGTTGAGCAGTGAAGGTTTAAGAAAATAAACTCTTCACCTGGTGTTGAGTGAGTGAAATCGGATTACCTGAGCCGGCCAGTTGTCTGTCTGCAGAATGGCGACCCCCTCTGTTCATTTGGAGGATGTGGAGGACAGGCCAGCTGCTTTTATCGCTGCTCCAAATAAACAGCTGCACATCTGGGCAGGCAGAGATGCCGCGGGGGAGCAGAGGGGAGGCTGAGGACCGACTGCACGACGTGTAAATGAACGAGGCCCTGAAGGGGACGGCAGTCGACAAGCACCCGTTGTCCTCTTGGCTGCTTTTCGAAGTAGGCTTAAGTTACATTTTGGTCTCTGAAAGTGCCAAGTCCTTAGTTTCTTCCATAGATGTTTTCTTGTTCTTGTTCTTCATCACTGTTCACTGCATATGCTAATTGTTTCAAGAGAGAGAATAAGAAGTATTCATTGGAGCTGAGTATGTGAAATTGACCTTTCCATGAGAAAAGGATACTGCTTGGAAAATTCCAATAAAAAGTATTCTCTTTATCACTGGCAGGAAATGTGTTATTGTACGGATCTATCCTCCCACATTTGTTTGAGTGTTCCCATGTTCTCAGGGTTTTTTTGTTGTATGTGTTTATGTCCATTAGTGTAAGCATGTGCAGGCCTGCAGGTTTATCCTGTGTGGGGACATTGGTGTATTTTCCCCCCATGCATACATGTGTATGTTTGTGCATGTGCGTGTTGCTGGGGGACATTTGATCTCGGGGCTCGCCGCACGCCACGCTTGCTTGCAGGTGGTCTGTCCACACTTGGGGGCTGATCAGATTTAATATTTCATAGGAGTACAGCGCACCCCTGGACGCCATCATTGAGTCCACATGGCTGGCCGGAAAGCTGCTCTGTGAACACTCGACTGAAAAATGCGGTCCTGCCAGCCCCCTCTCCACCATGCTGCTCGCTCACTTGCTGGGCCTCACAATTAAAAGCTAACCACAGCTACAGATGTTGGCAGCTGTCTTTAACCCATGAGATGCACTCTGGAGCTTCAATCTGCTACTTTTAGTGCTAATCGCAGCTGATAAAGGTTGACGTTTTTGTGCAAGTACTTGTGTACTAGTAAAAGAAGAAGGCAACAAAGCTGAAGGAAATTTGAGACAGCTGCTGAAAGCATTGCATTCGGAGAGTATCCAGGCCATGTAAGCTAACTACATTTTCAGCTCCTCCAGTTTAATACCCCCCCTATCTTTATACACCATATAAACAGGAAACTAAAAGTGTTTATGACCACCTTGCAAAATCTAATGTTGGGAATTCAAGTTCAGGTCACAATTTTATCCACCATTCATCAGATTCCAGCGAAGCCAAACCTCTTTCTGTGTTTGCCGTCAGGTATAGTGTAGAGTTGGACTCAGGCCAAAAAGAACACAGTGAATTTCACCAGCACCATTATTCAACAAGGTCAAACCCGACTTAGATTTGAAACCAAATCCAAAACAGGGCATCTTGAAGCTGTTAGGAAACTATTCCAGATCTTAAACAGACCAGGGGGACTGTGTACATCTCCCTAATTGCACATGTCAATTTATGTACAAGCGCTTGGTTTAGTCAAGCTCCATTACTCCCCCCCTTTCTTACTCTGGTGCTGTTTCACTGTCACTGTCTCCTTCTCTTATTCTCTTTCTGACTTACACTCAACTTCCTGGACATGAAAATCTGCACATTATAAGTGTGTGTAGTCTTAACAGAGGCAGGGAGACACACTCTCGTTCAGACACACAGAATGTCAAGGCAAACCAATACCGAGTCACTGAGACAAACCATGTCAGTTCACAGCTTGACAGCTTGTTAATGTTGTGTGACTTCTCCGGGAATAAAGGATGTATTGCAGAAACTCAAGACTGCATGTAATTAATCCGATCCCGGCAATAACTCTCTCAAATATTTACTGTATTCTGCTATCAGGGGTGAGGGAGACAAATGAAGAGCTCGACAAAGACCTCACACAACCATGGGAGTCTGTCTGCTGGCTCCAGAGACTGAGGCGAGCAGAGCAGGTGAAAAGAGATGTTTCTCACTTCTCGACCGTCAGGGCCTATATAATATTTTAACACACTGACCATAACCCTTTGGGGACCTAACTACAATAATGCTGTCATCACCTGGTTTGAGAGTGGAGGCTTGATGGTGTGACAAAACCGTCCAGCATCCGTGGGAGACTGACCAAATCAAACACACCGCAGTGAGAGTGCACACTTCAATAACACTTTCTGCGAAGACCACATCTATAGTGCATTTTAAGGGCATTCACATTGTGCACATAAAACAATGACTCTTTTATTGGCCACTAGGGAAGTTAAGTTATTGTGGTGATTCAATTGCAATACTTTCATTTCATACCCTCTTCTTTCAG